AAACTCAAGAATTTCAAAAGTTCATAACTCAAATTTTTAACTTCCCCCCCCCCAACCATAAAATCTTTGTGTACGTAAATGTATATGCATTTAATTTTTATACCCAAAAAAAAAGAATTTTAATTTTTATACTTGATGGGAAAATGTCTTTGACACTATAAGGTTATTTTCAATCAACCACACATAACTATCTTTTGTAAGCTTTAGCGAGCGTCGTGGATAATCTAGAAAAGATGGTAAAGCATTGTTAAGAGTACAAATTAAAGATTTTAAAACATTTTACAGTATTACGTTACTTAAAAATCAACTAGTAAAATAATTATTTTAAGCATGAGTTAAAGTAACTCACTGTGAAGATTAAATTACACTAATACAGAAACTCTTTGGACATAACTTCACATCCATATATCTGTATAGGTCATTGACAATGTAAACGCACGCAATCTAATACGAGTTCAACCATTATTTTTTGCCGTTACACACGATTGCCTTTACATTTCAACTAAAAGGGCTAATTTTCGCAATTTTTGAGTTGTCATAATCATAATAATTCCACTATGCTTTTCAAATTAGTAAAGAGGGCACCTTAAACACTGCTGCAAGTTGAATAACATATGGAGTAGTTGAAAATCCATGGTTGAAGGTCATGCATCAACGGAAAAACATTCTAAGAGCATCAACTACTTTCTCCGGCCTGTCAAAAGAATGCAGCTCTGACTCGTGAAAACTCTCTTCAGTTACATGAGCTAATATCCATATAAGTAAAAGGCTGAAATCTATTACCAGTCCTCTTGTGGCATATGGCCAGCACCTTCAATCAGCTTAAGCTTGACAGAATCGGGATTTCCCTTCTGAAATTCCTCCGCAACTGATTGCGGGAGATACTTATCCGATATTCCCCAAGCAACTAAAATTGGTTTATCCCAGCTGAAAGTAACAGACCGAGTTCCCATATTCCCCAGAAGGAAGAAAAATCAGCATCAGAAGCAGTTAGAACTTTGATATATTTGGAATAGTAAAGAACTTTAGTCATTGTCATATGCTGGCATGTGTCAAGTATAGGAAGTCACTGGTGTCCTTAGAGGTATAATTAAGGTAGAACAAGACATACAATTGAAATTAATAATTGAACTACATCTAATATGTGCAAAGCAAACAGGCAACATTCATTAGCTCTTGAAGTAAGACTGAGCTTCTGCACTTCTTCACATAAAAAAGTGAAGCCACGTAGCTAACATAGTTTATGACATCTAGTCAACAATTTGCCTAAATGTAGGGAAAGCAACAACAGAGCAAGAAAAACAATTTGGATTTAGAATATCAAACTCTATCACTGCGCAACTTTGACAATTACAAGGATTGAGCCTTGTTGCTTGCTCTCAGGAATAAACCTAATATGCACAGTGAAGACATACCAAACTGCTATATACACAACTTCATGCAAACAGGCATAACTAAAGAAGATGAAAGTAGATTAAATACCTTCCAGATGCAAAACCGGATGATATTTGACTTGCAATCTCACTGAAATTAGCTTTTCTTGCTGCTTCCAGTAAAGCTGAGATTTCAAAGCACACAGTTCTCAGACTAGGGATTAGTCAATAAAACATGATTAGAAGTTTTAAAGATTGTAATGTTTCTTCAAATACACTTTTTATAATCCCAAGTACTTAAAAGATAAATTTTGCTGCAAAAATCTTTAGACTTCTAAAAAAACTAAGACGTGGTGTTCTCTAAGCAGTACATAATCACTTTGTTTCATTCTTCATAATAATGAGTTCTCTGGTGCATGACTTCATGCCTCATTCGATACTACTAGGCTTAATAAACCTTGAAAGCACAGGACTCAGCTGGTCATGAATGTCCACTATCTGTTCTGGAAATTCAAACACTTTCTTGCATGAATTATTTTTCTTGTATATCTTTGATCAGAGGCATTAACGTTAATGGACGAACAAAGGGTTGCTAATCTTTTTGATAGCCGTCAAAGAACGGTGTTTATATGGCGTTTAGCGCATGAGTGTAACTATCATATAATCAAATTTAAGTGGAAAGGTACAACCCCTTGGGAGATCCAAAAGATGAGGTGGACGGCATGGCCCCCAAAAGCATGTTCGAGAATTCGGTAAACACTTCCTTCAGGAGCGACGATATGTGTATTGCAGCAAAGTTTTGCTAGATGATTAAGCATGTTAAGCCAAAATAAATAAGGCTTGAAATGAAAGAGAATAAGAACATATAAAGCTATATCTGTTTCTGAAAAGTTGTAGAACAAGATGCAGGTAACAAACCAAATCCAGGTCCACTGCTTGCCAAATATGGTAGCCGGTACACGTCAGCCTTCTCCAGCTTTAAGACGTAGCTGTCATGGTAGCATTTTGTTACATAAGAAAGTTGTAGGCCATGATTAAGATTAAGTGGAAGATAATAAATTTCTAGTACATTAAAATCTATAGCAACTTTTCATGCCATAGTTTATATATTTATTTTGTATTCGCATGGGGATTTGGTATAGTCAATGTGAACAAATTCAAACTTCTTCGTAGTCCCCTTGCAAGGTTAAAAATTGGTGTTAATATTCAAGGTAACAGTGCATTAGCTCCAACTTCTAAGATTATCAACTCATGTGGATTCTCAAAAAGCCATAATCCATGGATACAAGTGATTAGACATGCAGGAAAATAATGTAGCTATCTATGCTCAGTTCTAATAGGGGGTTAGCTGTTTGAAGATAAATTTCAATGAGCATGATAGAGGATTTTCCTTCGCATATCTATCCACATTGGCCAAAAGTACAAAAGAGCAACATGGAAGTGTGAGGGAGATGAGAGAAGAGAGAACAACCAACACAGAACAAGGTACCAGGTTTTTGTATTCTTATGGTAAAGGCGAACCGCAGAAAATAGCTTTGTAAAATGTAGTTACTCATAGGAACTGGGGAGTGCATCACCAATTCTTCTATTTAGTAGGTCCATTACCATGATATCACTAAACATTAGATGTCAATATTATTGCAAGTTCAGAAAGAGAATTTTGAGGATTCAGTGTTTTGTATCCTTAATACTTTCTGTTCTAAAACATAGGCGAGTATAGCAACTAATTAACATCAATCGAAGTGGTAAAAATCATACAGATCTAATTCAAAAAATTCTCAAATTGTAAGATGCATTTTGGATACCTACGCGCTACCTGCTTCAATAAAGCGCTCTGCCATTACTGCATTATGGGAAGTAAATTCACCAAAGAAGGGAATTCTAGTACATAAACAAAGAAGAGAAGTTCAATTAGAAAATAGTTAAGTGACAGTTCAGTTAAAAAAACAAGCAGTTAAATGAACACAGAACATCTCAAAAGCAATGAAGCAAACTTCTCTTCATGAACAGAAGAACAGACAGCAAAAAAACAAGAATTTTCCTCTATACATGTTGATTAGCAGTATCCACTGAAGTGTTATGAATCACAACCTCTTGTGGTATCTTGAGAAAACTACTCATGTCCTGAGTAGAGGAAGAAAGATAAGCACAGCATGTTAGAGATACAATATGAGGAACAAAACAGCTTCTACCTAGTTCCCATGATATTATATAGATAACTACACATTTATGTATATGTAGGTTTGTGATGGCGAGCATGCCGAAGTGCTGCAACCAAAATATTTTGGAGTTTAAAGTTCTTTGTTGTTAAAACAATAAAGGGCCACCTCAAATAGAAAGCTCAATATAATAGAATCCCAGTCTGTGTTAATATTACGCGTGGAAGACAAAAACCAGGGGTTTTTCTGGGTTTTTATGGGTCATTTCCTTGACAAAAGTGAGATCCTAGCAACACCAGATCTCTGAGAAACATCATGCTTTCATGTCATCTTGATGAAAATTCAGGTTGACCAGATATATTGAAGCTATTTTTAATAGCCTAACTTCATTCTTTACTAATATGGAGTAAAAGGGTACAGAACATTTTTCACATGTACACATAACACATGCCCCTTAAGCAAAGTGAAGCATCTAAGTTGAAATCATTCAGTTTGATGCCCTGTAGTTTTCAGTTTCCTACATAAAGGGCATATTAAACGTAAATACAATTAGGAGGCTAACTTCCCCAGAAATATTGCATTCACTTCTGGTGAAAGATGAAAAAATACTAAAGACCCAAAAAGGGCACAGAGGGCTTCCAATTACGGATTTGAATACCATAATATGTGAAAAGAGCAGTCAATATTCTTCTTGCAACAATTAAGAGCAGTCAATGTACCATGAGATGCAAGCAATTGATTAACTACACAGACAATGAAACCTGAGCTGCTGAAAAAGTCCAGGAATAGGTGAAGAAACAGTCAGTGGAGTGTTCAGAATTGCAAGCTTTGATATTTTACTGGGATTTTTCAAAGTCCAAGTCAATCCGTATGAACCCACAAGGAATCCCTACAAATATATTATCAAATAAAGTTAAGCACCTGAGCAGAAATTCAAAAATTTTGCTTCTATTTTAAGAAATTGATAACTTATAAAACCATCTACAAATGCAAGAAACCTAAAATTATAACAAGCAAGAAATGCAGTAAAATAGCTTTTAAAGTGCAAGAAAGCTGATTATATTTAAGATAAATACTTGGTGCCTCATTGGGGCAGTGATCGACAGTTTACATAGAAGGGTAGTTCTTTTAGGTTGTCATGTGCACACCAAAAACTTCTCGAACACAACACTTTCAACAAAATTTTCCTATCTGTCTCATGTCCTTTATTTTGAATATGGTCATTTCCCTGTCTGACGATGCATACTTCAGTATTGGCACTTGTTTAGTATCACTTCAATTCGTTGATAGCAAAAATAACAGATAAGAAGCATTTATTAATTAGTTCACACTTCTATTCATTTCTATATATCCTTCTGTTAAAAAAAATTATTCACAGACTGAATTTCAGTATTAACAAAAAGAAAAAATTTCTTGGTTAATCAAACTCTAATATGTAGGAGAATTGATAATTTATAACCTCCCATAATAGAGGCCAATAGCTAATCATGCAGCTACGTAGAGTAAAAATTTACAAAGACAAAAATCTATTAGAAAAAGAAAATTTTCTTCCTAGTTCAACCAAAATCTACACCATCCACTATCGTCCTATACTGACCAGTGCCAATAATATTCTTCGATATGTAACATAAAATTTTCAATCCCAGCTTGGTTAATGTCACTCAGACCTGAACTACGAGGAAAAATGGAGACGTCACTCCCAGGACTTCAAGTAACTTCTCGAACTCTTCATGGAACTCTTTCTCTGCCAGTAAAATTGTTCAGAACTTCATAATGTTTCCTGGTTAAGAAAACAACACTCAGATGAAGTAAACTGAAGTTTAAAGTGAGAAGGCCTCGATACCAGTGTAGTCGAAACCATAACCAGGTTGTGGCTTATCACTAAATCCAAATCCGATCCAGTCAGGTGCAAAGCAGTGAAACCCAGAATCCGCCATCTAGCCAGAGAGAAAAATCTTGTTGTTGAACAATAAAGACCAACATTATCAAGAAGATAAAAAGATTGAGAGATATTCGGAACAGATAAAACTGAAGAACAAGTTATATGGTGATTAGACGAATTCCTCATGCTTCTGACCAGGATCACATTCATATCTTTTAAGTCTAAAGATGATAACAGCGAAAAGACAGTAAGAAAATCAATAAAATTACCAAATCATCTTATGTAAGTTCTCCTCAAGAAGGAATTCTTTAAAATATCATACCACCTGCCTTTTGAACATAGTCAGTTCGTCAAGTATCTATTTTAAGAGCATCCCCATAAATTTTCTGGATCTTGCAGAGAGGCATCCTCTAAAACTCGGATAATAATCGAAAACTACTCCACTACATTCGTGATTCACACCATTTTAAAAGACATTATTTGATTGAGATGCCGTGGTGCATGTTATTTTTTTTTGAATTGATAACATTAGTATATATTAATAAAGTCAGTACATAGGTTGTACTGGGAACCATATTTACAGGTAAATGC